TAAATGCCTATCAATGAAGACTTGTTAGTATTGGTTGTCAATATGTTAGACACCAGCACAAGGAAGATAATTGTCTTGTCAGAGAGTAAACAATTATATTTTTCATGCCTGAACTGTCTTTTGTTCCCGAAGTAAATGGTAGGTTAAACCTGGATTTATAGCCGGCTAACCTTCCCCCTCCTGTATGGCAGTTGTTTATTAGTCCCCTACCGACGAAGTCGAAGGGGACTTTAGGTTTGCACTCTGTCCGTCTGTCTGTCCGTCCGTCCGTCCGTCTGTCCATCCGTCAATCCGGCAAATCAGTTTTCCAGACTTTTTTCTTCATGCTTGAAGATATTGATTTGATATTTGGTGTATTGTTTTATCATGACAAGTTACAGGTCAAGTTCGATTTTCACGATTTTAGCTTTTCTCCTTGTTATTGACAACATTGTGTGAGCAACACAAATAGACAGGAAACAATTATATTTTTCATGCCTGAACTGTCTTTTTTTCCCGAAGAAAATGGTAGGTTAAACCTGGTTTTATAGCCGGCTAACCTTCCCCACCTGTATGGCAGTTGTTTATTATTGACAAAATTGTGTGAGAAACCCAAACAGACATAATAGGTTTACATGACAATAATTTGGATCTCGCAGCCAAAATTGTGTGAAAATACTTGATAAAGTAAACAGATTTAACATGACATCTATATATGATATATGTTTTAACTCAGGATATTAACATTCTTCATTTTTAAAGTTCATTTTGTTTTTGTACGTACATATGCGGTTTATGTGAAACGATAAACAGTTAATACAAACCTCAAAGGGCATACGTGCGAACTATACTACAATGGTAATTTATCTCGTTACATATACATAGTTTCTGACCTTACCAACCCACGTGCTCTCTGTTTTTTAAAATTGTACTCATACTTCCGTCCTTCATCTCGTTCTATCCACTTTGAGGTGACAACAAAACTGAGTTATTTTACCCCCCCCCCTCCCCAGCAAAAAAAGTTTTTTTGGGGAGGGTTAATATAGGAATCACAATGTCCGTCTGTCCGTCCGGTGCATAACTTTTGTACCATCGTTAATCAGACTTGGTATGCAGATAAATCATGGGCTGGGGTTGACTTTTGACACCTATGATAGTAAAACCTTGTCCAATTCGTGACCTGTTCATAACTTTTGTACCGTAAAATTTAGGTTAACCTAACTTGGTATTTTGTTGCATCATGGGCTTGGGGTGTGTCATATACAAAAGTCAGGTTTCTTTGACTTTCACTTTGACCTTTGATCCATATGATAGTAAAAACTTGGCTGAGTTGTGTCCTTAGTGTCCTGCGCATAACTTTTGTATCCTATAACTTAGGTTGACCCAAATTGGTATACTGTTGCATCATGGCTGGGATTGTGACATATATCAAATTCAGGTCACTTTCACCTAGAATTTGACCTTTGACCCCTCTGATATAAAAATGTCTGATTTGTGTACGGTGCACAACTTTTGTACTGTAGCACTTAGATTGACAAAACTTTGTATGCAGACACATCATGGAAATATAGATTATATCAAATACCAAAATCATGTTACCTTCACCTTGATTCTTGACCTCTAGTTTGAAAGCTAAAAAATCTCAAAATGTCATTGTTTCAGGGCTGATTTTCACAGCAGCAACTTAAAGACGATAGTCTCGCTCTGTGGGCAGTTCTTGTTCAATTAGTAAAATAATGACAACACCATGACCAAAAGGAAAAGAAAGACGAACAGCAGTCTACGAAACACTTCAAAGAAAACTAAACACTGAGCAACACGAACCCCATCGAGAACCAGAGTTGAACTGAGGTTCTCCGGATTGCTAAGCAGTTCAAAAAGTGCCACCCCTCGCGTTGCTCGTGGTATATTGTTACGTAGAATTCGGTGATGTCACACTCGACAAAAGGAGGACGGGACTATGGCAACGACAAGTGGAATATATCCGTGGTCATATGATATTTCATAAAGTTCTACCAAATCTTGATGACGTCCGTAAAACAACAATTAATGCAGCAAAAGATCAACCAACTTCTATAGAACCATTTCTAATATTCCATGTCTAATCTTAAAGTGTATAGAAAAAAAAGTATAACAAGAATACCGAACTTCAAGGCAAATACAATCAAAGTACTGAAGTACTGAACATCGGATGACCGCAAGTTCTGGTGGATGGTCACAAGCACTTGTCTCATGGATAAAAAATCACATCTCTATACCTGAAAGTTAGGTTAAGGAACATAGATATTTTTTTTTCTGAGACAAGTTCCTGTGTGGATGATGAATAAATGACAAGGAATTCAACCTCACCGTTATAGCTATCATATTGTAGTGATATAATCATTTGTTATCAGTATACTCTGGTTTGTTGTTATATATTATATTGATATTTGTATAACAGTTATATATAATTTTCATCCATTTCTGTATCATTCTATTCTACTATTCTAATGATAGTGCAATGCAAGTGCATGGTGGACACTCTTCTGTAATAATTCGTTTTTCTAATAGATTGGATTTGAGTAGGCATTCATATTTTCCCGCGTTTGTGACAAAACGTTCTTGAGATATTCTTCCGCATGCGTTAACACAAATTTTCGGCATTCTTGATTTGTTATTGATATATATATTTCTCACGACAAAACATTTTCATATCATTTATCTATGTTCTTAAAAATTATTTTGAAGAATATTTATTGATGAAATTATTATATGACAAGCGATAAGGAATGTTATTTTGCACTCGATAATATCCGCGTAATTATACGAAATACGTTCGGTTATCAGTCAAAAACGTAAGTCACGTGGGTAGAAATGTCTGCGGCAACATAACACCGGAAAGCCCTCACGGTCATCCGCTGTAAAAAGGAAAGTCCTTAAAAAAGGAAAAATTAAACGCTATCAATCAACAGAACAAGTGAAAAACAACTGTCATATTCCTGACTTGGTAAAGGCATTTTTCTATGAAAATGATTGGTTAAACCTGGTTTTACAGCTAACTAAACCCCCCACTTGTATGACAGTTTATATAGTTCCTTTATATTGACAAAATTGTTGAGCAACCCAACCAGACATAATAGGTTTTGGAGATTCTTTCATGGAATGTGTATCTGTTCCCTCTAAATCCGCCGCTTGAACTATGATTTTTCCCAATTAAGTAGATTGAAATTATGCCAGAACCATATTATTTAATTGTCCTGACACTTCGATACAACTCCTATTGCTTTAATTATTTTCATCTTCGCATTTAGCAGGACAATTTCTAAATGTTGTAATCAACTGGCCAGGTTCCTGTCATGACAGTTTTATTTTCAAGACATCCAATCTTGGTAGATATATGGAAACAAGACATAGAGGTTACGATAGGTCATAGCAAGGAATTGTATATTTAAAAGGAATGCAAACGGTTTCCATTCCTTTTAAATATACAATTCCTTGGTCATAGTTATCATATTTTTCCTGCAGCTACTTATTTCCATCATTTGGCATTTGAAAATTAGAACCAGACGAGCAGCATTTTTTTAAAACATGCAAATGTTAACTATTTATGAATATAACTGAGTCATATATTTAGTTAAATCATGTATACACATCATGTACAAGTTCATCACATTTATTTCCGTTATATCAATCCTCAGTGAAATGTAATCTACACGGTAGACGCAATATTTATTTTAGAAATTAGAATTATTGAGGAAAATTCAATAACAACAACAACAATATTTTATTTTAAGAGGGTTACACAGTTAGCTATATAACTAATCTTCCCTGGGGCCCTCATCATAGAAAAGCATAAACAAAAATGCAAACATATTCATGGTATACATTAGTATAAAAGTCAAAAGTATAATGACAATATTCAATACAACTGCATAAAATGTTATAAAAAAATAAACATGATGAAATAAATAATATTCAATATTTTTTTCAACTGGTTGATTTCCATAAATGATCTGTTTGTAATATTTCGTAATGATATATTATAGACAAATTGTTCCACAAGAATGGTCCAGAATACATAAAAGACTTCTTGAACAATTCTATTTTGGTTTAGGGAGTATGAGGTTTCCTTGAACAGCATTTCTCAGGGGTATGGATTTCTGACATTCTGTCTGAAACATATAAATGAAACTTGATAGTAAGATATGATGGGGCATCTTTTTTATGCACTTAATTGTCATCACAAACTTGTGATATTTTATTCTCTGTTCAACTGTCATCAAATTTAAGTGTTTTAATAAGGGCTCAGAAGTTGCGAAATGGTCTGTTTCTAGTATTATTCTAGCAGCTCTCTTTTGTTATTTTAATATCCTAGAAAGCAGTATCAGTAATATACCTTACCCTACTCAAGTGAACAACTTTATGTTCTGGAGGTTATATCATATCAATAAGAATGTTTTTTTTTCAAGTAATTAGAAGTAATATCAGTAATTTTTACTGCATTAAAGTACAAATAAATTACTAAGGTTTCTTTTATAGTTTACTAAATTCAAGTTAATCATTTTTACTTAAAATTATAAGTTATTTCCTAAACCAAGTATAACATTCAATTTAGTCATTTCAAGTAATTGCATAAGCATTGTAAGTAATACTTAGCAGGAGTAAGTAATTGTAAGTAATATCATTACTCAAGATAAGTAAAACAAAATTACAAAGTAATTCTTTTTTTAGAGTTCACGTTTCTGTTAAACCATTCTTTGCTGCCCTTGCGAGCTAATGCCACCACTAGGCATCCATCGTCCATGTGAAGACAAATGCAATAGAAGAAAAGTGTTTTGGATGGTGGAAGAGGAGGTTTAACATCCTACATGGAGAGATTAGAACAAAACCAGAAAAAGCAGCAAAAATGATCACCGCCTGTGCAGTGCTTAATAACATTGTGTTATAACTAAGGGGATAAATGGGAGATGACAATCATGTAATATATTACTTCCTTGTTGTTAGGAACCATGGAGATGAGAGGCGTCATATAGTGAAGAGTTCTTAGAATATAAATGAAATCACTTCATTGGTCTCATTTTATTTCATGTAATTAATGAATAAATACAATGTTGTACACATACATGCATTTCTTGTCTCATTTTTTTCATGTAATAATTATAAATAAATATAATATTGTACGCATAAATTATTTTAACATTCATTCATCTCTTTCTCATCTTTTTCAACTGCAGTTTAATGATTTTCTTCTTCAAAACAGTGAGGGCTCCCTTTTCCTTGATCAGATCAGTTTCTCTCAGCAAAATTTTATGTTCTCATTTTTCAGTTGTATGTGTTCTTGCTTAAGACACTTGATATGATACTCCTCAACAACTTTCCTTTTTTCATATCGGCTCAAATTGATTAACGAATCATCTTCAACTACATGTATATCCACTGGTTGAGGTACCGACATTTTCTCAGAAAAATTCTTAACACCTGTTAAAAGACGAACAATAATAGTAATGTTTTAAATGATCGTACATCAAGCATAATAAGATAAAAGAGAACAAATAAATATATATGTGTGTCCATTTAGGTAAATAGTTCTTTTTACTATTTATTATACCTACCCTAAAAAAATTTAATTGTTCACCCGTGACAAAGAGTCGGTGGCATATTGTTTTACCCCCGTCTGTCTGTCCGTCCCACACAGCGTATATGATTTGTCCAGCTTACTCTTCCTACAGTTTTCAAGCCGGTATGATTTTTTTTTGCAGGATAGTTGCGTATGCATTCAGTACTGCTGGATTTACAGCTGTTTTATTTACTCCATTTTTTTTTTTGGCAAATTCAATATGAATTTTAATGGTAGCCAATTACCAATATTTTAACTCTCGATTTGTAATATCTATAATCATACAAAGAGAACAAACTTCACTACAATAAAGAAGTAAAGGTCTAACACAATTATCGAACTTTAGGTGAGGTAATACATTGATATCCTCATAAAATAACAGTTTTCTAATACAAAATATAGCTTTTGAGGTTTTTTTTACAAAGAATTAAAAAAAAGTCTTCGACACCTTCAGAGATCTTCACCGAATACAAAATCTTTTCATTTATATCGCTCATCATAGTGAAAGAGGGACCTATGTTGTAATAAGATTTTATTTTGTTATTACTTATAAAACTTATTTTCAATTTAGTATGTGTTTGGATTTTAAAAAATGTCACTGTTAACAAAAATTATCAAATCCTAATAAATATTTGTTGGCTTCATTATCAAAATTTCCTTTAGGAGACTTTAAATTTGCATTTAATTTACTACTACGGTAGTTGAAACTTTTTTTCAATAATTCTCAGATGATTTATCAAGGCAGCCCCCTAATCCCCCTCTATAATTTGTAGCAGTAGCAGCTCGCACTAATATTCTTTTAGCTATTGCTCATGTATATTTTCCTCTATTTAAACAGATGTACTGAAAATATTTTTAAAAGCTTCTGTTATAATTTACATTTAGTTTAATGAAAAGGAGCAAATGCATATTTCCGGTAATATACTTGTATAGGTGAAATATATTTTCTAACCGACATCAGGCCATAGTTGTTTTTATGCTGAAAAAAAAACAATGTACATGTACATGTATAAATAATTATGGGACGCATGTCTGTGATAAGAGAGATGATAACAACTTCAACAAAAACAACATAAATCAGTTGATGATTTTGTTGAGCCAAAACATTATTTTCCCTTCGAATATTCAGTGTGCTTGCAGAAAACTGTCTCTCCATTCATTTAAACAATCCACAACAATCTCCTGTCACACTGCATTTTTCGTCTATCAAGACGAGAATTATTCAAAACTATTCAAATGCGAAGTACCGTGTTTTGTAAACTCGGTCGTACTGCCTAAATCTAGTCAGTGTTATTCTTGATTTTTAAAGATTTTTACGAAATTTGTACGGATTTAAAACTACTTGAACTGCATCTGAATTTCGAAAATAGGTATATATGTAGTAATAAAATGTAGATACGATCATATTTGTTTAACAGAACCTATAAATACATATAGAATGATCATGTGGGTTAAAAAAGAGACGACAAAATGCATTTTCTTTGCTTATAATCAGAATTTCTCAAAATTCCGTCCGCAGAATTTTATTTTAAAATAATATGTTATCGTTCTGTGGAGGTTTATAAAATAGATTTGATTGATTCTTTTATTATGAGCCCTTTTTTATTGCAGGACCTACCTATTGTATTTATTGTTAATTTGTTCTCGTCCAGAGCATGCATGAAACATTTGCAACTGGACGTAAAGCAAACAACAATCCATCAATCATTCAACGTTTATTCCATTCATAACTTTTCTTTTAGCCAGGACGATTCAGAGATTGGCATATTGTACAAACGGGTGTCCAAGAAAAGTTATCAATGAATTAAACAATGAAATAAGGAATCGACCGGGGTATATGGGCGGGAAATTTGGAATGCCAATGTGAAAGGAGTGTATATTGGATAGGGACAGGAATACCACTTACGGTCCAACTATGGCTGAAAACTACGGACCTCTCAAAGATTTGTTGCAAGGGTTCTTATGGTGCAGAGAGCCTGACCGGGCGTAGCTGTGACTTTTTTTTATACATCCCGCATAGCAAAGCGGTCGCGCCACTCTGGCAATTGTTTTTACAGCCGATCGGGGAAAAAACAAGAGAGCCACACATTTCTTTACCCCAGTCAACCCTACGGATGAAAATAAAACATACATTCCATAACCGTCAAATTCTCCAAATAACAAAAAATATTATCATTCAACTGAAGGGTTCTACTCGACTTTTTGCACTTCACAGCGTTGCACTAGTTTACTGATTATTTTCACGATCTGATTTGTAGGTTAATTAACACATGACTTATACATGGATTACAAAGAAAAGACTTGTTACGTTTCCATTCCATTTTGACATTTGACGTTTACTTAAAATTAAAATGCAAATAAATTAGTTTACACATTTGTATGCATACTAACCTCAGCATAGGAGAATGATTGATATTCATATTTTGTTAATGTGTTAATAAAAAGTATTAGCCAAGTGAACGTGTAAACAGTCAAACATTGTCTGAGCAGAATATGGCGAATTGAATCAGTTATGTAATACATGTGTATTTCATGATTTATTGTTTTTTATAAATATAAACACATATACATGTATGTTAATATAATATACTGACAGTTTTCGTTCTACATGTTCTTAGTTACAGTAGGTCACATGAAAGTTCATTTGGAATAAATGAATAATAATAAGGATCAACATTTAACAATAACGATGAGTCATGGTATTAAAAAGGGAAAGACAGCAACCGATCGACACACAAATAACCAAAATACATCTAGAGCAAGACATACGGAAACGGCAAAATACAGTCTTCAACAATTGGTTTTAACATATTTTATTGTTCAAAATGACAAATGGATTAGACACAAGTTTTACAACTTTGTAACTTCTTCTCCAAAACTTCTTTCTTCAACAATTGACAGGTGTCTAAACAACATGTCAAACAGTTAATCGTCATGGGCCTATTAGTCTTTTAGAACTTAAAACAAAATCAAATCTAATGCATAAAAGGTAAATTATTGTGTTCTATTTTTATTATTGACTAAATTTACGTGTTAATGCAAAATGGGTGGATGAATGATGTAAAGGAAACTTAAATATATACCGTTATTGTCGAATTTTTTATACTACTTTTAGTTTTCTAGATCTATCTTAATTTTTTTGTGTTTCATCAGTGATGCCACTTGTTAGCCCAAAATTCAAATTTTTAGGAAACTATATGTTAGAAAACTATAATTAAAACGATCTCTTAATATGCTAAATTCATGCAGTCTCTCCATTTACATCTCTATACTTCTTGCGATGCAAGATATCTCTCTTTTTATGATAATTTGGTGTGCTTGAAATAAACATCCCGAAAAGAAATCATTTCATTTACTAACAAATACCGTAAGTACTAATGAAGCGAGATAAATGAAATTGATTTATTTTATATGGCACTTTAACTGTCAAATTCGTTTTCGCTGATTTTACTCGAATTATTATATTTGATAATTAACATACTTAAACGTAAATCCAAATTAAAAAAAAGTCCAAAAGAAGTAAAAAAAAACTATGATTCGTGATAATGTATCAGCATTTGTTGCGTATATTAGACTAGATGCCCTCTAATTCACCATCGAGATGACCTCCGAAGACTGCCGATAGTCACATGACCCGATATACTCGTAAACATACTTATAAATAGACGGTCAGGTATTGTCTAGGTCTGTTTGATTTTATGTCACATATTTAAAAATGTCGTAAATTCATCGTTTTAGCAGTATAAGAAATGTATTTTCATGGCTGAATCAGCCAACGTATTGGTCCCCCTGGTGGCACCCTTGTTTCACTTTTCAATGTTGACATTACTTCCTTACTAATAGCTGAACATGCAAATCACATGCATAACCCATTTCCTACTACGGGTCAAATTAAAGGTCGCGTGAATACGGATTCAAATGAGGTTTAATTATTCACTTGCAAGCCAATAATACACCAGCAATAATTTAGCTAATTTTGATAAAATTGAATCAAACTTACTACTAATAATGAACTACTATTCCGCTTTTATAAATGCTTTAAACCTAAAAAAAAATGTTTCGTCTTGATCGTAGCTACGATCGCTTTTGAATTAACTTCGTTGATAATGGATTTACTAATTAATTATTTAAGAGTAAAGGATTGTTGCGAATCACTGGTTATTAATCGAAGATATTTTTTACTGAGCTTGGATTGGGAACATGTCAAAATGTGAATAACTATATTATAGATTTTTAAATCACTCCTTTACGACGCGTATAACAAATGTATTATTATTCAGTGGATTCCAGGGACGTATCAAAATAATTATATAAACCTTTGTTTTGGTATACCTTCAGGATTTTGGTCGACTATAAACAATTTAAACGTTATTCTCTGAATAAAAATAGCGACGGAGTAGAGACTGCCCTGTTCATTTTCTTTTTTCAATCTAAGCATGTTAAATGATAAGATTTATTATATATTTTGAAAATAAAGCTATGTGTAGCTACTTTTGCTATTCACGCATTAGAAGTATGGTGAATATATCCTGAAGTGACCTTTTCAAAAGATCTGGTAAACATTTTTTATACAATTTTGATTATCAGAAAAGTGCATGTATCATAACTTTATGGTTATAAAAATGACATATGATATATTTCATGTTGGAAAAGGGAATTTTGTTATCATTTTCAGTGGGCAAAAATGTTTGATTATGCAAATGTAAAAAAAACAAAAAAAAACTTTATTTTCATTTCATTATAAACTTGAGAAATTTCTGTTCCTGTGATATCTGGTTTTATACTTGAATCTTGAAAACAAAAAATCACCACTAAAAACGGGTCACTTGTGGATTAGCCCTAAAAATATGACTTCTTACAGAAAAACTGTTTCGTACATTCATTGGCTTGATGACTGAAGCTTTTGGTGTGAAGCCTGTAGCTATAGGTTTTGGTATGAAGCTATTAGGTTTTGGTGTGAAGGCTGTAGCTATAGGTTTTGGTGTGAAGCCTGTAGCTATAGGTTTTGGTGTAGAGCCTATAGGTTTTGGTGTGATGCCTTGTTGTTTTGATTTGTCTATACAGATACCAAAAACGTGTGCTTGCTTCGACACAACTTGTCCATGGCAACATAAGGATTCTTTTGGATTGTAACCTTCTTTTCCACAACATCCATTTCCAGCAGGACTACTCAAAACACCATGGCAACATGTTTCCAGTGTATTGTTGTATGGTTTATCTCCACAACATGGAAGACCTGACGCCGATTTATTCTTGCAACATTCAGTCTTTGGGTTATATGGAAATGGTCCACAACAAGACATATTAGGCCCATCATGTAGGATACCTTTGCAGCAGGAACTTGTCAAATTACTATACGCTTTATTGCCACAGCACATAAGACCTACTTTATTCACCCCATTGCAACATTCAGTTGCTGGATCATAAGCCTTCTTCACACAACAATGCAACCCAGCTCCTTTATGTACTGTACCTCCACAGCACGTTTGAGTAGTTTTAGAATACGCTTTATCCATGCAACAATCCAGTCCATGTTTGTTCTGTCCTTCGCAACATTCAGTATCAGGTTTATATGTTCTGTTGCCACAACACGATGAATTTATTCCAGTAAACAACATTCCATTGCAACAGGTATGCGTTTTAGGATTGTAATCTGTCGCCCCGCAGCATGGTTTTCCTCCTTCTGCCGATTTTTTCCGTACTATGCCGTAGCAGCATGATTGTAAGTTTGGATCATACGGAATAGGACCACAACATTTCAGTCCTCCTGGACTAATTATGACACCATTACAACAACTGTGTTCTCTTGGATCATAAGCTTCATTTTTACAACATGACAAATCCCCCGGAGTATGAAGGGTATCTTCACAACACGTTTCTAGAAGTGGGTGATACGTTTCAATGTCACAACATTTGTGATAAGGTGTTGGCCTGTCGGCAATTTTTTTGTTACAACATATTTCAGTTGTTGGATCGATGAGTTTTTTGTCGCAACATTTGGCGTTGGGTGTTGGATATAATGTATCCACACAACAGGTTTGAGTTTGTGGGTCATACGGCTTATTCTTACAACAGGCAGATCCTACGCTATTGGGATACGGCGTGTTATCACAACATACTTGAAGGGCGGCATTATATGTTGAAAGTCCACAACAAGGCCAACCTGCTGGGCTTGAGATAGCACCATCACAACATGTTTCGTGGTCGGGATTGTAGAAACCATTCCCACAGACCTCTGAAATATAAAGTAATGGGTATAGAATACAAAGAAACACTAAAACGTCTTTTCGTTGTTTTTTTTTCAAAATAAAGTAGCGTATTTACTCTAAAATATATGTAATGTTAATAATAAATCAGATTAGCAGTGACAGCTATGTATTTTAATGTTCTTTTTTTTTTAAACAAACAACAAGTTATTGGAGAATTGTTTTGTTTAGTTCTTATTATTTGGTTTATTTCGTCCTAGAAGAAAGGAATATCGTTACAGTTGCTGAACGAAACATCTTTTTCGGGTTTGGTTTCTTTTTTTTGCTTCTTTTTGTTTTTATCAGCTCTTCAATGTTGGTGTTAGGTTTTGGATTTTCAATGTTTGATGCTTCGAGCATCACTGCATGAAGAGATATTAATAGTTGAAATGCGGGGTAAAATTGGTACTGTTAATGCTAGTACTACTACTCTTCATCTATATATCAAGCAAAATCGCCCACATATGTTTTAAGAGTATCCTTTCCTTTTTGTCTTTTTTATTTAGGTTTGCTTGCAAAAACATTTTGCTAAGCAGAAAGACAAAAGCGATTGCTATAAAAAGAAAAAAAACAGAACAGATTTATCTGACAGTAAATATAGGGTTTGAAATGGGACATCCTTGCATACGGCAACTTTAAAAGTTTAAGGTTCTATTGACGTATAAATAGAAAAAAGTCGTATTTTGCAAAATTGTAATTTCTATTATACTGTTTTTTTTTTAACAAACTGTGTGCCATAGAGCTTGTTTTGTCATAGAGGTCGGTTTATTTCTCTACATCTTATAAAATATTGCATATTTTGTATAAAAAAAAATTGGCGAAACACAAGTAAGTAAATAGAAGACTAGTATGAGATTAAAGATTAGTATGAGATTTAGTTGAACAAATTTGAAACAAAGTTAAAGAATATTACGTTAATACATGCATTCATAAAACAACAAAAAAAAACCAAAGAAAACTGGCAAACTGTTAAATTTATCATAGAAATCGATCATTTAAGTTATAACTCCTAATTATTCGAATTCTGAATAGGTTAGAATAAACAAAAAAAAGTGTTAATATATTTGTAATAATATTTCTCATCTAAGACTTATACGATATAAATGTCTTTGTTAGTTTATCAAATGCATTTCTATATTAAAGTTGTATTTTTTTGTAAAAATCTATATCACTCTTTTAAGTTCCAAGATGACTGAAACATTTTTTATATTCACATACTATATTAACAAGCCTTTCTGAATATTTCATAAACGACTTACAAAGACGAAATAAAGCATATGTTATAAGATAGAATTACAATTCAATTTTATTCAATGGTTTATCATCTCTCAACAAGTTTAAAACAAAACCACATAAAACGAGAGACATTCTATACAGAATTATAAGAGACTATTAAAATGCATAGATATACTACATTACATGATCAAATTTCTTAGTGATCAGAAATTAAAAAAAAGTATTAAATAAGTCTTACTGTGATTTAAACGAACCCCTCGCACAAGTATAAAGTTTGTGATAAATACAAACAAACATGCTGTGTATCCCTTCATCTTATTAAACATGGCAAACTGACTCTTTAAGCGTGTAATTAACCTCGTGCTTTCGTAATTAAATTGCGTTAATCGTAAATGTCAGGTGTGATATTAATTTGTCAAAATTATGTCACAACGAAACATGTAATCTTCGACATATTTAAAACTTGAAAGTAAAACATAAATGTGATACATACATACAAATATTTTTGTAACTTTCATATAATAAGCATTGGTGGACATTTTCAATAAATATTTCTATGAATAAGAGATCGTATTCTCAGAATCTGCACAGGTCAATAAATTTGTATTTAAATTAAAATGTCATGTTCAGACAAACACAAATGTAACATGTGTAATTTAAAGTCCAGTCTGAGTAAAGAGGCTAGGTAATGAATATATACAGATAAGATATGAGTTCCAATTAAAGGTTCCAAAGTTATCTATATACAGTGATTTATTTACTTGAGACACAAATATGACAAATCGTCGTGTGAATCTTATAATGATGCACGGTATTTCCCGCTTTTCGAACTGTTGGAAATTGAATCTGAAGTTTACAAGGACTAAGACGTTAGCAGTTTTATAGAACATGAATTCGATTTCTTTTTTAATAGACAAGCAACTTAGATAAATAAAGTATCCGCTTTTCTGGAGATAGAACAGTGTTGTTCTAGAAATGTATCCCTATATGTCTATCTATTGTAGAAAAACCATGGCTTTTAAAACTTTGTAATATCCCCAATTCTGCACTGCTGGATTTGCTTTGTTCATATGAGTTCAAATCGTGCAAACAATTTAAGCATAGTACAATGTACTACTAAGATAATTTTGATAACAATCGTATTATAACTATATAAGGAGATAGACCGTTGCACTTGGATATCAGATGTATAGCTATCTCCATTTTTATCAAAAGTGGACACATAACACTTTAAGATTCACACGACGAAATATATATTATCAAATCAAGTTAAGCCATAGCCAGACAAAAGTATATATATAAAAAGCGTTTTCAAATACAGATTATAAAAAAGGCAAATGTTCTTAATGGGCTACATATAAACATATCTGTATTATATTGATAATTTTCTGAATTCAAAAGGCCTAATGTCACGGCAGTTCATAATATTTATGGTTTAGGGTGGGGATATGAAGTGTTTGATATCGTTAACAATTAACGATATAAAGGAGGGGGCATTACCCTAGTGAGAAAAATATAGTGATATGGTTTGCTGTAAAGGTCTTATCATGACATTTAAGACTATATATATGTTTTAGAGGTGGGAATAGTTTTCATATGTATATGTGTGTGTTTTAGAGGTGGAAATAGTTTTCATGATATAGAACCATTAATGATATGAAGGGTGTGGGCCATGTCCCCCAGGGACAACACCTATGATGAACTAGAAATGTCTTGGCAAGCTTAAGGCAACAAAGACTACACATGGTTTAAGGGCGAGGATCTGAGCTAATTTTGAGATATTTAACGATTCATTATATGAGGTGCAGGGCACGACACACATGGACAAACCCTTAAATGCATTGAAAGGGTCTTGTCATGGCAATCATGAGTATTATATGGTTTTTGGTTGAGCATATAAAAATCAATTAAAATATCAAAGTTCAGATGTCAACTTCAATGGCATGCGACACATCGCTGCACCCATGCTCCAAATATCAAGACCCTATGTGACAGGATTCAACAGAAATGGTCAGGGCATGAAAATGTAAAATAAATCATTTTAACCTTGAGCTGAAAGGTCAAGGCCATTATGATATTTGACACAATGTCCAATGATATACAACAGAGTAGTAGACATTGTGTTACACAAAGAAATCCAGATGAGATTTAAAGAACCGTCGTTGCTGTACAACAACATAGGATCAACATCGTGTAAACCGTTACTGTCAAACACAAGAACTATAGAGTGTAGTACAGAAATTTCTTCAAGTCAATAATATACTTCTGAACTCGACAAAAAAGTCTGCAGTTTTGAACATATCTAAACCATAATTCCCATATAAAATGTCTTCCATGTTAAATACTAAGCCAAGATCTTAAACAACACTCGTCAAATAGATTCTAGGTTGTGTGTACAGTTGACATTACAGGAAATCAAGGGTCATGGATCCGACACTACAACCAAATCATCATATAAATGTGGCAAAACATCTCACTGGCAAGTTAACTTTTTAGACTAATTCAATTTTTTTTAAACGTGTATTTAATATGTTTGCAATTCTCGGACCATTGCTAAAATGCAATCCAGTTAAGAGGTTTTGTTTTGAACACTACAATCACTTGTGTTTTGACCGAAACATCTTTTGCAACCGGAATTTAAATGAGGGCGTGTTTGTCTGATGTTCGTATCTATCAAATTTGCCCACAAGTCGGATTGGTGATGGGAAGAAGTAATTCTTATATGAACTAAGACCCCAGAATACGTCATACTGATAACGATGTACAGTGTATTATAAACTTTTGAAAAACAAACAACTCTATTGTTAGCGTTAAATGCAGTGCACTTTTTAAATTATTTCATACAATAACAGCTTTGTTTGAAATCTAAATAAATGGATACATAAATATGATTAGTTTTTTGTAGACGAAACGCGCGTCTGGCGTACAAAATTTTAATCCTGGTATCTACGATGAGTTTTTTTTATACAGTCATATAATTTTTCTTGGAATGTAAGTATAAACCCTTCTCTAAAAATAGTCTGAACGACGATTGCATTCCAAACAAAATATTTAATATGAATAATTAAGTTTTTTTTACTTTTCTATCAATTCCATCATGTACAATAAATGACATTCAGTAACTACATGCAATCATTCTCTGAAACAGTGTCATTTGTTAGTATTTAACTTATATCTAGGTTCTGTCATTTGTTTACGATATGACTTACATATGTGCTTTTCCTGCACTCATTTGTGTTGTACTTTGTTAAGATCTAAATTATGCTATTGACTGACATGAAAATTAGGAAGGTTGAGTTCACTTAAAGGTACTTTAATCGAGCAAATATGTTAATGCGACTGTCACAAGACAGCAACCTCGCTAGTGCTTGCATTTATTCGTATCTGTGTTTATCCTTTTTAAGGAATTAAGAGATAATAGCAAATCTCCAGTAATCTACTTAAATTAAATAGCAACCTGTAAACTTTCCAAATGTATGTAGCAATATTCCAGCAGCGTCTGCATGTAGAGTATATAATTATCTGTTATATATAATCGATATGATATTCAATAGCTTGCGTTTATATTTCCTCAAGAGTTATTGCTGATTACAAAGAAACTACTGAAACACTTTTTTGGTTTTGTAATGGTTAAAGCCACAAGTTCTAAACGCTTACCCAATTTGTGCTTGTGGTTAACAACACAACGCAGGGGCGGATCCAGCAATTTATAAATGGGGGAGGGGTTCCTAACCCAGGATAAAAAGGGGGGGTTCCAACTATATGTCCCCATTCAAATGCATTGATCGTCAAAAAAAGGGGGGTTCCAACCCCCGGAACCCCCTCCCCCTTGGATCCGCCACTGCAACGATTGGCTCTTATGAAAAAGGATTTGATTACACTTCCGGTACACTTGAGTTTACCCTTAATTATTAAAGGGGTAGGTGTTGCTTTTGCTTATGTTTTTTTGTGTTGTATTCATGCCCTTAATTTTTCACTGTGATGTTTCTATTCATGATGGTCTTTTCTATTCTTTGTCCTGAAAAACTTGGGGTTTTCAATGCAATCTGAGTCATTATGTTAGCGTTAAAAATTTACATGTACCCGATGTTTAAAAAATTTGTTATGTCAAGTTACAGAGGAGAAATCACTAATCCGCTCATGTGTGATGCCTTACCACCATATATGTTTTATCATAAAAATAAGGAGATGTGGTATGATTGCCAATGAGAAAACTATCAACCCAAAGTCAGATGAAATGGATGTAAGCAATTATAGGCAACCGTGCGGCCTTCAACATTGAGAAAACCCTATACCGTATAGTCGGCTATATAAAGTTTAACCTGTTTTGACAGGAGTTACTTGAAGGGTGTCTCTAGCAGAAACGTAGCTTTATCTGAGCTTATGAGTTATCCGGGATTTTGGTGGGGTTCGTGTTGCAATGTGTTTTGTGGAGTTTTCTGTTTAGTCTTGTTTTGTTTTGTTTTTTTGCCATGGTGCTGTCTATCTTTTTTTTTTGACTATTGGTTCAGTTGTCCTCTGGGTATCATCTTACTTTGTTTAAGGAACTTGCGACTTTGTTTATCATTATGGAAAATCTGTGCAACACATGACGACGGATATTTTTCATTTATCCAAAATCCGTTGTCTTTTAAACGTTTATGAATATCACAGAATACGAATTTAAGCTGAATTTTGTTTGTTATGACCAACTTGCAATTGGCAAATGTCACTATGTGGATCGGTATTTTTTTATCCTTCTGGCTCAACTCGGATTCTGGTTGGTTCCGTGCTGCTCAATATTTAGTTTTGTGTGTAGTGTCGTTTTGTGGATTATTTTGTTTTTGTTTATTTCGTCCTTTTTTTGTTTGGACTGACATAGTAATGTCCGACTTTCTTCATCTTATGAATGTCGTGACCTTATGGTATGTTCTAACGTACTATACTGTCGTCACTGGGGCGACATTGACATTTAGTATACAAACTTGTTTTTGTTGAAGACCGTATGCTGACCTGACCTTTATTTTTTTAATTATTTATTTTTGGTGGGCGTTATTGTGTCAGTGTTGCAATGCGGTTTCATTAATATAAATCCCACACCTATTTTCTTTAATAATCATTTAGAAGATTCAAAAGAAATGGAGATTATATATGGTTGAAAAAGTTAATAAAATTTACATATAAAGTAAATTATTAGAAAATAGAAATGACATCGAATTGTTTAGTACATTTTACTGCACTTATTTTTGATTTGAATTGCTATGAATAAAAACACAAAAAAAAAATAACACAAAAAAAAACACGTAGTTTATGGACGTGATTATTTGCTCATATTATAAAAAAAAATGACTACTGTCTTTTCATTTCATTTAATCTATGTTTTATTTTGGTAAGTTCTCTCGAGAGTACCGGA